AATAGAAAGCCATGCAACCATTTACAGGGCATTTTCGTCTCAGATAAAATGTCAAAAAATGTGTAATTTTCTTTCGTGTAATCTGCAAAAAATATATAAAATACGTGTTAATGCTTTATTATTTTGAATGTGGTCAAATACCCTACTGCTAATGCGCTGGAACCTTGTCAAAATAACACCCGCGTGACGTTTAAAAATAGAAAGTATAGATAGTACAAAATGCAGTTGATGAAATATTTATTAATTATTATTATAAATAATACTCAAAATATTGTTAAAATAATTTAACAAAAATTTAGTTTGTTAATTTATTGTTTTCATTTCTGGAAATTTAATGTATATGGAATATAAAAAAAATATGAAAATATGTCATTTACTTTGTAATAACGCTAAATCACACGGAAAGGATATATTTTTTATAACAAAGCAAAAAGTAATAATGAAATGACCAGATTTTTATTCAAATTAGGTTTACTCATTATGAAAATCATAATAGCAGTAGCTATTTTAGTCAACCATAACAAGTAACAACAAAACAATAACAATCAAAAACATAACAAAAATTGTGTGTGATCTCAACACAACCCGAGTCAATAAGTATACTCTTCAACCAGAGTTTATTTGTTAACGGTACTGATTTTTGAACGCAATTACGTCTCCAAAATGGCGCCCAGGGCTAATTAACAATTTGCGGGGACTATAAAAATTGATATTTTCAAATTCTCTTAATGTTAAATAATTTGCTCTGTTTTAATACGAGTACATAAAAAATCCAAGTATATAATTTGGTTTAGTATTTTCTTGTATCAATTTCTGCTTTAAAGTGTTTTCGACACAGAACACGGAAAAGAGGTATATAAGGCGATTATGCATCCTTTGTACGAAAACCGATGTCGCCAGTCTTGCCCCACTTTTAGTCCGCCGTACATCAGACGAAATATCAGACCAATTATACAAAAGATATGCACACACTTGCATTTTAAACATGCCAATCAGAACGCTCCATTATTATAACTATAACCAATCACGCTCAACCATAACAGACATCTATAGTGCGCAATAAACGTGTAAAAGCCATTTTAATTTAACATATCATAATACTGATTAACATAAAGTTATTTACTATCGATATTGAAAAACAACAAGTCGATTAATTGAAAGAATACTAGAGTAATGATTTCTTTATATTATTTTGGATATACATTGAATTATATTGATTAAATGTGACATTATCTTTTTTCTTTAGATATTAATTCTTAATTAGTTGGTTGATTCAATAAGAAATATTTAAATTACTAATTACTAATGAACTAACATTGAATCGGTACTAGTCGAGCTTGAATATTTATTTGCATATATATATGTTTGTTTATTAATAATAATAGAAGGTATTTTTTTTTACGTAACGTTAATCGATTTCGTATCAAGTAAACAGATAAGATCGGCAACATCGCTTAAATGAAACTAGTAATATTGACAAACCTATTGTTTTTCAATGTAAATAAATATATACAAAATAAAAAAATACTATCTGTACAATAAATGTTATTGGAACATATCAATGATTTAAAAAGTGTTGTTAATGGTTCAAAATAAAAAAAAACTAATTTTCTGTTACAATATTAAGAATATAAAAACAGACTTATTACCACACTCATTATTAAATTAATATACAAACGCATACCAAACGAAGTCAATATGGTTTATCTCTGATTAAATTAATTTTTTATCGTCCATACTTTTATTTTGTTTTTACTAACACACCAAGAATCGATTAAATGTTTCCAGGCACTTCACTACCCATCTACCGTAATCTATTGTGTTGCTATTAAAAACGGTGATTTCGCGATGTTCTTTTCATTACGTGCTTAGTACGACGCAATGTAATAAATATGCGCACTTCTCCAGCAATGTATATTTTCTTGGAAATATTTTTTGTGATTCACACTTTTGATAACATTTCACGAATTTCGACTAGGTAAAAATACTAAATTTGAGAAGTGTTCTACTTACTAATGGAAAGAAATCCTTCCTTTGGACCTACTTAAGGATGGGCTTCTTGTATTGCAATTAAAACTTGCGCAAGTCGGCATTTTAACACTTTTAGTAGCGTGTTTCACAGTACTTAAAGCGCGCGCGTTCATGAATGACTAAACGTCGCGATCGCGTGGTGAAGTCACGATCCTGTACATTTGTCCAGGTTCGTGGCTACACTGCCACGAAATCAATAAACGACTCGTATTCTATTTGTACTTTTCGTATTTGTATTGATATCTAAGTTTCGAACTTTACAAATTTCAGTTTTTTAATATGTTAGTTAATAGGAACGGAAATTACTGTCTTTGGTCCATTCGTTTCATGCAAAAATCAACTTTTGCTAGAGTCGCCATCTAGTGGAGGTGATTTTCAGTGCTTTCGTTTTTTTAAATACTTCCTCATTGAATTTAAGGCGCCTATTACACTACCCAATCTATCGGGCCCGATCCATCGGGTACACTGTAAATTGGGTAGTCTAATCGCAGTTAGAGAGTTAGGGTCCCGATATCGGGTGAACGTGGGCGCCCGATCACCCGATGAGAGTTAGGGCCGATTTATCGGGTAATGTGATCGCTGTTAGGGTGTTAGAGCGCTCAGTCGGTTGTTGCGCAGCGTGCGTGTGAGACGTCAGTGAACAACAACGAAATTTGCGAACAGACAAAAATGTCTTCTCAAAAGGAAAAGAAATAATATTAAGTGTAATTTAATATTATTACTTTTTCTTATATATATATATATATATCAATATGATATAATGTTTTAAAAATTTCTAGATAGCTTTTGCATGTGTCTGGTACAATTATAATTTTTTTTTATAAATTACAATAATAAAAACTAATGCTATAATATTCATTTATTCATGTATTGCATGTCACAAGTATAAAGATGTTACATTTATATTTACAGTTCATGTGACACCCTGTAAGGGTGTAGCAAATTCTGAGTACTAAAGGCTATACTTTATATAATATAATATAATATTGTCAACTTATTATTTAGAATGCATATCCTACTTAAGGCTATATATATCTAAAAACAATTTATATTTTATTCATTATATATTAATAATTAACATTGGCATCTACAATAAATGGTTTAATTTAAAATAACTTCTTTATATATTTGAGAATGTATATTATTATATGTATAATTTATTATATTTTACTTAGGTAAGGCTTGAACTTGACTCTTATCTCCTTTTATTCATTTAACGAAACGTACCCATCCTCAAAGAATTCCGCGACACTATAATAGCCTTTGTTTATAAGAAAGTTTTTTAAGTGATTTTCAAAAGCTTTCGTTTTTTCGAGTTCTTTAATGTAATTGGGTATTTTATTGTAAATTTTTATTAACATTGAATGGGGGGCTACTGAGTACAATTTCATTTTTGTTGAAGGGACCTTTAGTTTATTATGGTATCTATTGTTGCGTCTTAATAATTTTACCGGGGAATATAAATCCATATGCTTTTTGACAAATTTACAGGCTTCAAAAATATATAAGTTTGGCAGAGTAAGAATTTTCAGACTTTTAAAATAAGGTTTACAAGACTCCATTTGGTTTATATTTGTAATTATTCTTATGCATTTTTTTTGCAAGATAAAGATTTCCAGGGTATGTGGACTATTTCCCCAAAGAATTATTCCATAGTTAAGACGTGAATGGACAAAAGAATAATAAGCGGAGAGGGCTGTTTCTTGATTGGAGACACGTTTCAACTGCCTCAGAGCGTATACATATGATGAAAGCTTATTAGATAGCATTTGAATATGAGGTTTCCAATTTATATTACCATCTATCTCTATTCCTAGCAAAGTGGCCGAATCCACAGTTTCTATTTTTTACTTTATATTATTGTTGTGCCCGATAGGGTCCATAGTGAGACTAACTTAATTATGTAATATTATTTTAAATTACCTATGGAAACAATAAACTTATTGAGTATTTATACTTTAAGTCATGATATGCATTTCCTGTTGCTAAAAATTTTAAGGTTACAGCACAGCTAACCGCTGTTTTGCGCTATATAAATTATGACTAAGTTTAATATATGATCAAATTGTGCAGATCTCATTCTGTAGTAGTTCAAACTGCATAGTTGGTCATTTAGAAGCAAATATTTTTCACCCAATATTTTGTTTTATTATTTACGCCCGCAGTTAAAGTATGGGCTATGCCAATTTTTTTGGTACTTTGTGAGCGAAGGAGCCATCCTTTCAACGCCACGTTTGCATGCCAACTGAGTTAGGGAGGCGATCTAGTGCAGTGTAATCACAACGACACCAACCGCCCTAAATCGCGGCCGATATATCGTGCCCGATAGATTGGGTAGTGTAATAGGCGCCTTAACTCTATATTAAGATCCATACAACACTGGCAATTCTATTCTCTTTGGTTTAACGACATGAATGAGGAAGTATTAAAAACATTAGTTCCCGAAATCAAACTAGATGTCGCTACGGTACGTTCTTTATTTCTCCATGAAAACCTTTCCGGTTTTCCTTCATATTTAGAAGTAAATTAGTTTTCAAAACTCAATTAACAACTCATATTCTATTTGTGTTGATATCTAAGTTCCGAACTTTTCATCTAGTGAAATAAATTTTTGTAGTTTCATTATTTTTTTTAATACTTCCATTGGTCTAATATTTCGTCCGATATATGGCGGACGAAAAGTGGGGCAAGACTGGCGATATCGTTTTTCGTACAAAGGATGCATGATCGCCTTTTTAACCTCTTTTCTTTGTTCTGTGGTATTGACCGACGTTAGCGCAGCAGGGTCCCAGTCTGGTTTACCTACGAATTTACGTAACTTAACTATTTGCCCCAATCTCACAACTGACTGATAAATAAAAGATACCATGCCCATTAGGCTTAATGGGGAAAGATTTTTGAAATTTATTACAACCCTTTTTGAATCTGATGCGAATAATCCCCATTACAACGGCTTCCTAATAAAAAATAAAATAAAAAAAGAAACAATTTATTGTCATTTCTTGGAAAAAAATGCAGATATAGTTTTGGTTCCACTAGCCGCCTTTTGTCTAGCTTTCTCTTTAGCTGTCAGTGGTTTTTGTTTTTTTAGTTCTTTCCAATCATTTATACTTGGATTTGAATCATTTAGAACATGTTTGATGTCTTCATCAGTTTCACTTTTTAATTTTTTATTAGGCATTGTTTGTTGTGTGTCTGATTTTCTTTTCTTTCCAACAGATTCTATTAAATCTGGTTTAAAGTCAAACCGTTTTTCTAGCTGTTCAATGAGTTCGCTTTCTAGATATTCTGATATGATTCCGCTGGCATATTTTAGGAAAAATTCTGTAATAAAATGTCAATGGGGTTAATAATACTATTGTTTCCTAAGAATAATAAGATAATATCACATACCAACAATCTTAAATATTCACCTTCATCCACACTTTGGTTGCAAATATTACTCGTAACAAATGTAACGGAGGCAGCGGCTGATGTCACATGTATATTCTTACTTCTCAATACCCCTGCTAATTGTCTCACCTTCCCCTCTAGCCAAGATAGGGTCTTTTCTTCATTGTATTTATATGCTTTCATATCTGGAGATCCCTAAAACATATTTCAATACATACCACATACAGGTTTTTTATCAAAGTCAACAGTAAAAGTTATAAAAATATATACTTTAATATCACCAATACAATCCAAATTGTTCACATAATCAACTATCTTCTCAAATCCCTTTTCTGACAGTAAATCTTCAAGAGGCATGGCTCTGCTTCTACATAGTTCTCTTAAGCGAGGTAGGACTGCAAAATGTATAAGACAAAACTACATATAATTCTTCTATATTGTTTACATAAGTCATTTTAACACAGTGTAAAAACTAACCTAAAAATAAAGGATTCACTGGAGTCACCAAATGAATGCTTCCGTTGGATTTTACAGTTTCTCCAATAAACCATGATCTATAAGGTTCTTTGAATGTCACAACCTCATATATTTTCTTGAGTTTACTATTTAGACTGAATTTTGCTGGGTTGCCATTAGCTGGATGAGGCAGTGTAATAATACTGAAATTGTCATTTTCAAACAGGTGATCTGAAAGTATAATACGTTTTTTCAGTGAAAACAAATAAACGTTTAATATGATTCTCGTAAAGCAGATGCTCTTCATGATCTTGATATTTTATTATACATAGGTATAGACCTGGAAGAAGTAAAATCCAAGAATTTTCTATTCGCTTAGGTGCTACCGGTGCACAAGGGGAATTGAAAGGTTTCGGTTTCCGTTGATTTCTTGTAGTACTCATTTTCAAACTGTTTCTTAGTTTAATAAGGTTATAAACACACACTACATAGGTTATTACATATAAGCAGTAAAAAGTTTACAGATATCAAGTATTTCTTAAAATCCCGTATTAGTTAAAAACTTTATCGTTCTGTGTTTACGAGTGGTTTATTGGTGGTTTACGAACATCGAACATCCAACCAAAGAGTAAGATACGAACATCGCCCCCACAGACCAAGAAAAGCATATAGAGTTGTTCAAAACGACTAAACTACATTTAGATGCTGAGACTAAATGCTAAGAAAAAATAGCGTCTTAATTAATTCGTTATTGTATTAACGCGCTAAGTATATTGCATTTTTACCTTTTTTTGTAATAACATCGCTCATTTTTACAGTAAAAAAAACATAAATTTTTCTAATTTGAATTCGGAGTTTACTTCATTAAAATGTAAACTTTTTAATGATACCGAAATCAGCTAGATGCAAACGGTATAGCCAGAGAGATTTTATTATTAGATTATGCATACTATATGCGAAAAGTATTTTTCCCGACCTAATATAGGTACCTATATAGACTTAACACTTTGGTGACACCTCTGGTAAATGATGGTCATACTTTACTCTTTGACTGAGTATTTGCCGTACATTTAGCGATGGGTCGTTATCCATTTTTAAATCGAATAACGTAACCGCTATCAGCTCTGCGATTCAAGTGTCCGAATTTACTTCAAAAAGCGGCATCTGCTCAATCTTGTATTGATAATAACTTCGTGGCATAAGTAAAGTGAGATTCGAAAAGACATACGAATAGAATATCTGAGACACGAATGTTCAATCAATTTTGATCTGTATTTTTATATAGAAAATGGAGTCAATAGAATTTCTAATCTAAATGACGTAAATGAGTGAATTTGAATTCGGGTCTGAATTTTTACTGAATTACAAGGGCTGATCGCCAATCACTGATATTTAAATGTCTTTTTTTGAAAACAAGTAATTTCCACAACGCTATAAAAACAAAGCGAATTTAACTCATTTAATATGCAAATGCGTTAGATAGATGCAAAAGATCTTGAACTTGGTCTTTTCGAAAGCCGAACTACGCAGAACGTACAAACATATACCTATTTAATTCACACGTATACTGAGATCCTGTTGTTATTTCTTTCATACATGACAGGTTGCATTGTTTTCGATCCATATTATTTAAAAAATCTATATTCTATACGATTAATAAAATTGCATTAAATTACCCTCAATGTAAAGCGTTGATCTCTTAAAGATGTCTTCGTATCGCTGCAAACTGTAATCGCTGCTTATTGGAGATCGCGGATATTGTAAAACGGTTTGTCCAAACATTCTCAAGTATCACTGAATCACGAGTGATCGCGGTTCAAGCAAATCACTAGTTGAATAACTGTCTATCGCGAATCCACGAATAACGTCCACCAAGCGCCACCGCTACGCACAAACCAAAAACAAAATTACATAGGGCTACATAGGGTTTGCCGTCGACGAAACGAAGATGTACATGTACCTTGATCGACTAGTTAATTTTAACTATAGTTGACATATGGATCTACGTCAACGGGTATGAACTTTGGACGAAGTTAAACGGTTTTAATGGTTTGATTGAACCGTATATCAGAAAGTAAACATTACTAATCATCTATACATGGTTATGGTTTTTTTTTCGTGTTAACGTAGGAATTCCTATTGTCAGGTAGGCTATGGTTTTATTTTGCATATTTGTGGTAATGATGGTAAAAATTAACAGTTTCATGATTTATTTTATTGTCAAAAGATAGCGCTAGAATTATAATTAGATAATGTTTTGGTTTTTTAATCAAAGGGCAAAACGAAACCGTATTATTAAGTCTTCGCTGTCAGTCTGTCTGTCTGTTACCAGGCTGTATCTCATGAAACTTGATAGAAAATTTTCACATAAGATACATTTCTGTTGCCAATAATGAACAAATACTAAAAACAGAATAAATATTTGCTTTTATTTAATAAAATAATGTTTTTGCTCGATATCGATACTTGCAGCAGGTAGACCCTTGAAATATTTACTGAAGATTTGTCTATATAGGTATTCACTTTAAAAATAAAATAAAATAATTACTCTAGTTGGTTCCCGTACAAATACAACCGATTTGATTTTAAGTGCGATCCAACTCGCACTTAGGCGTTTTTTAAATATACAGTTAAATTTAAAAGAAATGTTATGATTTTTTTCTATAATAGGATAATTAATTTAATTAATTAAAATAATAAATGAATGAATCACTTTATGATTCGTATGCATTAAAAGAGAAAAAAAAACTTATTATACTAGCAATAGTTAACTTATACTAAGTAGTAAAATTCGTAACACCGCCGTGTCAAAATTCGTATAACACCATCTATCGGGGACTAACGTTAACAAACAAAGTCTAACATGTATTTAAACAAGGCCTATGTATAAGACACGCGTGTTCAAATATTTACTTACTTCTTTTGACTTTAGAGTTTAAATTATTTCAGCTGTCAAAGTTACATCGAAATTATAATAATAGAAAACAACCGAATTCCATTGTTTTGTATAGATAATGCTATGCGTTGCAGTTTTGTAACAAGTTTATAGATGAACGGTGCGTTCTTAGTTTAGCCGTCGACTTTTTAACTGGTTGTATTATTGTATTTAAAGTATCTATATTATTTTATGGAAATAAAATATCATATTCACAATATAAGACTTTTCATCAATTGAAAGATGTCAGATGTCACACTTACATAAAAGGAAATAATTAAGATGTCAATACAAAAGAGTTACACAGATCTCGGTAATTAGTCTTCGAGGAGGTCGCACTATACGTTGGCTGCGGCACAGAGGTAGCACTGGTTCAGCTGATGTAGATTGTAGGGCTGGTACAATTGGTGCAGGTTCTATGATAGATGCAGCTGCAGGTCGTCCCTGACAACGGCCTCTGCGCGGGGGTAGAGTTGGTGACGGTGATGCTGTGGTGGGTGTTGCCCATTCGTGAGATGATGATAGCGATGATTGAATAGGAGTGATTAATGAAGACTGTGGTAATGGTGATGACTGGAGAGGAATAGTTGATGTAGGCATGGTTGATGAAAGGTGTAAAGATGGAGATGGTGACGGTACAATGTCTACAGAGGGTGAATGTTGCTGCGGTGATGGCACTCTTGAATAGTATGTGGTCAGCATGTCTCCGTATCGATCTTCCTCTTGGAGTCATGATCACATATGAGTATTTGCCCCTCCGTGCGGGTATTGTTCCCTTTTCCCAAAACTTTTCTAATTTAGTTCTCGTATAAATTGGTTCACCAGGTACAAAATTTCCAGCTTCAGATGATACAGTGGTGACATTGTTTTGAATTTGACGTAACTGTAAATTTCTTCGTTTAGATGGCCTAATATTAGATAAAACGCAGTTGAACGCAGCTGCCGCCCAAACATCATTTGTGCAGGTGATTTTCCTGTAGTATTATGAGGAGTGTTTCGATAGGTAAAAAGAAATTCAATGAGATGTTTAGCTTTGTCCCTTCGTTCGCTCCTATTCTTGTCTTAATAGTTCTAACAAATCTTTCGGTCAGTCCATTACTGCGCGGGTGATATGGTGAAGAAGTCACATGTATTATACCTAACTTTTCACAGTAATTCTTAAAATCGTGCGACACAAATTGTGGGCCATTGTCTGAAACAATAATTTGTGGTAGTCCAAATGTGACAAATATGTCGTCTAGAACCAAGCATAAATCTCTAGTAGTGGATTGTGAGGACGATTAGATTGGCACCCGTTACACTGCTTCACAAAATTCTCTATGACTTCGTCTGAAGTCGGCCACCAGACGTAAAACCTGGTGAAGGTATGATATTACCTTTAATCGCAAAGAGTTTGGTATGATCATTCTTCCCTGCCATAATAAAATCTTATTTTCAACTGAAATTTCGTTCCGTTTTCTGAAATAATGTTTTAGTTCATTATTATATTCAAAGTCGCGCCAACCAGTCTTTAAGCATTGTACAACTTTTGATAAAATGGAATCGATCATGGAATGTTCTCTTATACTCTTTTCCGTTAAGTGTATGTCTGAAATTCTGTTTGACATAAGACTGTATTTGATACATCGGTATGATTATCAGGTAATCTTGAAAAACAATCTGCTAGTATATTCTGTGCATCTTTTGATAGAAAATGTCGCAATTGTAACTACCAATGATTAAAGCCCACCTCACAAGTCTGTTGTTAGTTATTTTAGGAAGATTACGTGGAACACCCAATATATAAATGAGGGGTTTATGGTCAGTAAATAGTGTAAATTTTGTTCCGCCTAGATATTGATCGAATTTTTTTCATTCCAAAAAATATAGCAAGAGCTTCTCTGTCAATTAAGAGTATTTAGCTTCAGCAGTGCGAAATTTCCTTTTTGTTTGTGAAATAAAACGGTTCCTACGTCTTTTTCCGATGCATCGCATGTTAGAAATAGTGGTCTGTTATCATCAAATGCTATTAAGGGTTGCGATGCAGCTATGCAAGATTTAGTTTTCTCGAAAAATGTTCCTTTCATGACTTGTCCAACGCCATCATTGTCTACCGCTTGGTAATTCATGTAAATCTGCACATATTCCATGCAGATGTGGAATAAATCGTTGGTAAACATTTTTCAGGCCCAGAGAAGATCTCAGTTCTTTTGAATTTCGTCGGTGAGCAAACAACACCGCGGAATTCGAAAATTGGCGGTTTCGACTTTTGAATACCATTGGATGCAGGTTTTAAGCGCGCTTCTTTGTGCCTATCACGTGCACATATATCAGCCAATCAGAAGCCGTTATTTAAAAAATTGTAACACCGCGTATGAAATATTTCTACGAAATACCGCCCAAGTCGTCATTCAGCCATATTGTTTGGTATGGTATCGGACCTCTTTCTAGTGTTTTATTGTTTTGACAATATCAACTTAGATATAGAAAATATGCCAATGATGGAGAAAGTTGTGGATACATCATGTTGAATTCAGAAATACAAATTCAACCAACTACAACTCCAGTCTCTGTAGATCTGTCAATGCCTACATCGACCTTAACCAAATAGCCTGCTGATGATTACTCCAGTATAATCCTGTGTTACTGCTCGTGAAAACGCCAACTCCATTGATGTC